AGAAACTCACAGCAATTCTACTAAAATCAGGAACAAGACAAGGTTGTCCACTTTCTCCATATCTATTCAATATAGTATCTGAAATTTTAGCCAGAACAGTAAAACAGCTGAACGAAATCCAGGGGATACAAATTGGTAATAAAGAACTCAAGGTATTGTTATTTGCAGATGATATGATAGTATATATAAGTGAGCCAAAATATTCTACTAGGGAACTCCTACAGCTGATAATTTCAGCAAAGAGTCTAGATACAAGATTAACTTTAAAAAATCAGTAGACCTCCTATATACAAATGACAAATTAACTAAAGAAGAAACCAGGGAAACAACACTCTTCACAAGCACCTCAAATAATATAAAATATCATAAAATAACTCTAACCAAGCAAGTGAAATACTTGTATGATAAAAGCTTCAAGTATTTGAAAAAAGAAATTGAAGAGAATATCAGAAGATGGAAAGATCTCCCATGTTCATGGATCAGTAAGATTAAGATAGTAAAAATGGCCATCCTACCAAAAGCAATCTACAAATTCAGTACAGTCCCCATCAAAATTCCAACACGAGTCTTTATAGACCTTGAAAGAACAATAATCAACTTCATATGGAAAAACAAAAAACACAGGAAAGCTAAACAATCCTGAACAATAAAAGAACTGCTGAAGGTATCACCATCCCTAATTTCAAGTTGTGCTACAGAGCTGTAATAATATGGTATTGACACAAAAACAAACACATTGATCAATGGAATTTAATTTAAGACACAGACATAAATGCATATGCCTATGGACACCTGATTTTTTATAAAGAAGCCAGAAATACACAGTGAAAAAAAAAGACAGCATCTTCAACAAATGATGCTGGTCAAACTGGATGTCTATATGTAGAAGATTGCAAATAGATCCATATTTGTCATCCTGTACAAAACTCAAGTCCAAGTAGATAAAAGACCTCAACATAAACCAGAGACACTGAACCTGATATAAAAGAAAGTGAGAAATAGCCTGCAAAGCATTGACACAAGAGACAATTTTCTGAACAGACCACCAATAACACAGACACTAAGACCAACAATTAATAAATGGGAATCCATGAAAATGAAAAGTTTCTGTAAGGCAAATGACACTGTCAATCAGACAAAGAGACCAGTCATAATGCTTATTATATAGTATTTTTTGACAAAGGATACTGCCATTCAGACAACATAGATGCCTACAGAATGGGAAAATATTTTTACCAACTCCACCCATATCTAACAGAGGGCTAATAACCAAAATATATAAAGAACTCAAGAAAATAGACATCAACAAACCAAATAATGCAATTAAAAATGAGGTACAGATCTAAACAGAGAATTCTCAATACAGGAATTTCAAATGTCTGAGACATACTTAAAGAAATGTCCAACATCCTTAGCTATCAGGGAAATGCAAATCAGAATGACTTTGAGATTCCATCTTACACCTGTCAGAACTGCTTAGATTAACAACATAAGTGATAGCTCATACTGGAGAGAATGTTGAGCATGGGGAACACTCCTCCATTGGTAGCGGGATTGCAAACTTGTACAGCCACTATGGAAATCAATATGACAGTTCCTCAAAAATTTGGGAATCGTTCTACCTCAAGATCCAGCTGTACCACTCTTAAGCATATATCCAAAGGACACTCCATCCTACAAGGACACTTGCTCAACTATGTTCATTTTGGCTTTATTCATAATAGTCAGAAATTGGAAACAATGGATGTCCCTCAGCTGAAGAGTGGGTAAAGAAAATGTGGCACATTTACACAATGAATATTACTCAGCTGTTTAACAAAAAAGATGACATCATGAAATTTGCAGGCAAATGGATGCAACTAGAAAAAAATCATCCTGAGTGAGGTAACTCAGACTCAGAAAGACAAATATGGTATGTACTCATTCATAAGTGGATATCAGCTGTTAAGTAAATGAAAAGCTACAATCCACAGACCCAAAGAGGTTGGGTAAAGAGGACAGCTCTATGTGGAAAGCATGGATCTCTCTGGGAAGGGGAAATAGAATAGATTCTGCAGGTGAACTAGGGGTGGGGTGGAGACAGGAGCTGGAGGGATCAGATGGGGAGGGATGGAGGGAGAGATGGCTGGAATTAGGGAACCTTTGGGGGGAGGTGTGGAAACCTAGTGCAGTGGAAACTTCCTGGAATCTCTGAAGGTGAGCCTAATGAGGACACCTAGTCATGGGGATATGGAGTTTCAACAGGTCATCTCTTATCACCAGGTGAGACTTCCAGTGGCTAGAATGAGTTGTGTTCAGTTGAATTGCTGGCCAAGGGTGCCCCATGGAAAAACCCAAATAACTCAGGCTGTTGCTAAGACAAAAGAATGGTGCCCCATTGCCAAGTATATTGACGCAACTCATTGAACATGGAGAAGTTGAGGTGATACCTGCATGGAGCCCCTACATTCTAGTCTCTTTGGTGTGGAAAGGTACTATGCAGACTACAGAAAGGGAAACATGAAAACCAATCCAGCCACAAAACCTTTGACCTACAATATGTCCTGCCTACAAAATAAGTTAAGGCAATGATGGCACAGAACTTTTGGAAGTAGCAAACCAGTCTGATTGACTTAAGACCCACTCCAGGAGAAGGAATCCATCTCAGAAACTGCTTGTATAACCAAGAACCTGAGACTTGTAGTCCAAAAACCTAGGGTAAAATCCAACATGACTGGAAAAAAAAAGTGTCAGTAAAATGACTCTTAATGGTGTTTTTGCTATACTCATAGATCAGCACCTTATCCAGTCATCACCAGAGAGGTAGTAGATGGGAACAGATACAGAGACCCACAGCCAGACATTTTGTGGAAAGAGTCCAAATGAGAAGTCCCTATCAAATCCTTCCTTTCAGAGCTCAGGGAATCCCTTGAAAGGGGAAGTGGAAAGATTGTAAGAGCCAGGAGAACAAGGCCCTCTGAATCAGCTAAACAAGGTGCATATGAGCTCACAAAGACAGAAGCAGCAAGCACAGGGCCTACACGGGTCTGCACCAGGGACTCTGTAAATATCTTAGGGCTATTAACTTAGTATTTTTATGGGACTCTTGACTGTGCAAAGTGGGTCTCTGATTCTTGTGCCTGCTCTTGGGACTCTTTTTCTTCTGTTGGGTTGCCGTGTCCAACTTAGCTATGATCTTTGTTTGATATGATCTTTAATATAATCTTTGTTTCATCTTATATTTTATTTTGTCATGTTTGGTTGTTGTCTCTTTGAAGCCTGTTCTTTTCTAATGAGAGATGGAAAAGGAGCGGATCCAGAGGAAGGGAAGGTTGGGATTAACTGAGAGGAGTGGAGTGAGGGGAAACTATAATCAGGATATATTATATGAGTAAATAATCTATTTTCAATAAGAGGGGAAAAAGAATAACTGTCTAGAAACCACTGTCCAATGGAATACCACACATTTGAGAATATTTGAGCAGCACAAACTGATGTTAAGAATTTTTTTTAAAAGCACACAAAGTTGGGGGAATAGAGAAGATGTAGTAGATCTGGAAAGAATTAGGATGAGTGATTGTGATCAAAACACACTGTACTAAAATTCTCAAGAAATTAAAAAATCTTTTTCAGAAGAATAAGGACCTGGGAGTGAGAAAATCCAGTATACAAATCACAACTATTCCACTTGTGAACTAGGTGTCTTCTATAAGTTAACTTCTTTTACTTTCACTTCTTTTGTTTTGTTGTTGTCCTTTTGTTTTTCACTTATCCAGTGTTTGTGTGTGTGTGTGTGTGTGTGTGTGTGTGTGTGTGTGTGTGTGTGTGTTCATGTATGTGGAGGCCAGAGATTGACATTAGGTGCCCTTCTCAACTAGTTTCCCATCTTACTTTTGGGACAGTATCTCTCATTGAACCTGGAGCTCACCAAATATCTACACTGGCTGAACACCACACCCTAAGGATCTACTTGTCTCTACCTCCCCATAATGAGGATGGGCACTTCACCATGCCCAATTTCTTACATGGATGGTGGAGAGATTAACTCAGGTCTTCATGTTTGTACAACTGAACAATCTCAACAACCCCTGTGCCTTCATCAATCCATTCCCACGAGTACCTACTTCATGTGTCAGCTACGAATTTTAAATGCATATGTTATACAGTTTTGCTGCATCATAAATTCTCAATAAATCTTATAAATGTGTTCAAAAGAGAGGGTCCAAGAAGAATGAGAAAAATTACTCCACTACTATATTTAAACAGATGCCTCATCAAGATCAATGAAAATGAGAGAACTGTTGCTGCCAAGTTGATTATCTTAACTCCCAACTGGGGATGCCAACAATGTTGCCAGTAGCAACAACCAGTTCTTTTCCAAGCTGTCTAGAGTCTAGTAAGAGCTGATGTCACTATCCCCTTATGACTGCTCACAATTAAAGGGGCCTTTGAGTCACCTCCTCAGACAAACCAGTGAGTAAAGAATTGTAGATGCAGACTCCCAGTTATTCAGAAATCCTAAATCACAACTACAGATGGGACAAGGTCAGAACTCAGAGGTGTATGGACATAACTACCTTTTGATCAAATGCCCTGGATATGAGATGACTCCATGTACAAGAACTACAAAAATAATAAAAATTCTTGTTCTTTTTATTCTCATTAGAAATATTTTCTAGATGTTTTAGTAACCTATTGAGCAATAAATAACTAAAGAAGAAGGCTTAAGAGATGGTTTGACATTTAAGACTCTTAAGAACCTAGGCATGATTCACTATGTGCTCACAACATCTGTAACTCCAATTGCATGGGATTTGTTGACTCTTCTGACCTCCGTGGATTCCTGTATACATTAAGGCATAGAGAGACACATTAAAAAAATAAGTAAGTAAATAAATATTTTTAGAAGAATTTATAGGGAGGATCATACAAGCCAACTCTGACCAAAGCTGAGAAATGCAAATACAAGCAGAACAAAGAACGACCATGCCTCTTACCTTGGAAACAAAAGAAAGAGCTGCTGTTCACATGGGACAATGCCCATTCACCCAAAGTGGACATCAGGGGAAGCCAGCTCCTCTTGCTAACTGTTCTTCCCAGCCCTTCTGCTCATAGAGTGTAGCTTTCCAAAGTACTAAGAACTTGATTCTCGAGTGGGAGAAGTAAGTGTTGAGGAGAAATATGTACCTCAATCCCTGCAGTCTAACCAGCTCTGTCTTCACCCTGGTTTTCAGGTGATCCAGCCACTTTCAGCCTTGGGTACTTAATTCAGGCCCATATTTACCTTGCTTTCACCAGAAGATCTACAGATTGTGGAGACAAGGCTCATCTGAAAGAAAATGCAGCAATTTTAACCTGCAGTTCTTATGAATAATAAATACCCAGGCTCATGCTGTGGTAGGGTCCTGAGTAGAAACCTGAGCCAAGAGGCAGGCATAGTTTCCTTTATAGCTTTTAAATATTTAGATACATGGTATGTGGACCTCCATTTGTTTAGTCTTGCCCTGTAAATGTTAAAGGAAAGTACTCACTGAAGACACCCTTTCTTGGATGCACTGTTAAGGACTGATTCTGGACCACCAATGACTGTATACCTGAAACAAGAAGAAAACGAGTGTGAGATGCTGATGGTTTTCTCAGGCCAATATGAGCCATCTCCATTTAAAGGCTACCCTTTGAAACAATCATCTTGCTATTTACAGCAGTAAGCCTTCCCTTTGTTGGCAGACAGATTAGAGTTGCTGTCTTTGTCTTTATTGACCCTGTATGAGGACATGTGGATGCGTATCATCTGCAGAGGAAGTAAGTCAACTATCAAGATCAAAATCTACTTGGAGGTAGCCAGGACATAAATTCATACTGAAACAATTTCGACAGCTTTGTTTACATGATCAAATCTATTTTCTTTCTAAGTATAAGTTAGCTTTAGGAGAAATACCAGGGGATATTAATATACACGCTCAAAAACAAATGCTGACAGCGGGCAGTGGGGGAAGAGAGAAACAAATCAATACATCTAAAATAAATACCTACCTTGAAGCTGCAAAAAGTCTGTGACTGTCAGTGTAATTGTTTGGTCAATGCAGCACAATCCAGACAACTTAACTGTCGGAAATTATTCTTCAAGAAGGTCATTCCGAAAATGAGATCCTGCCAGTAGGCTGAACAACCCTTCAAGCTGCAGTTACTTAGGTGAGTTCCAAAAGAAGATCAGAGTGGAACCAGATATGAGAAGGTAATTGGCCAAGATCCAGAGATGTAATTGGCCAAGACAGAAAGAACACTTGTAGAGAAAAAAAAATGTGAATTTGAGAACATTGTTCAAAATAATTTTCATGAGTTTTGTCCTAATAAAGGGCTTTTAATGATTATTTTAATGAGGCTGTTTTGCTTTAGTTTTCCTCAGTTTGACAGCTTTTTTAATCCAAAATAAAAGATTAGTGAATGTGCTGGGTTCTGGTATCAGACATAAATAACATGAGCCCCTAACTTCAGGGACTCCCTAGTCTATTCAGAAATGAAGCTAACACATCCATAAGCAATTAGACTCTAATTATTAGAGAGATAAGAGTCTGTTTTACTCCAAAGTAAGGGCATTGTATTAGTTCCTTTACATGTGGCTATGAGAAAATACCAAAAGGACACAACTGAGGAAAAGTTTATTTTGGCTCACAGAAGATACAATCCATCATAGTTGGGAAGGCATGCCAGCAGGAGCTTCAGGAAGTTGCTTATTGTCATAAAGCAGAGAAAGAGAGATACATGGAGGTCCTCGGTTCCTTTCCTCCTTTTTATTCCATTTAGGATTCCAGACCATGGAACAGTGCCACCCACAGTTAAGGCGGGACTTCTCATTTCAATTAACCTAATCTAAAAATGCTCTCAGATATACCAAGATATTTGTCTCCTAAGAGAACATGTCAAGTTGATAGTCAATATTAACTACCACAGGGTTCTGAATTGATCTAGAGTCTCATCATATTATAATATGATCATATTATATATTATATAATCATATTATATAATATTATACCATTAGTATATTATTATATTTTCATATATAATATATAAGTATATTATATTCTCATCATATTATAATATGGTTACCATATTATAATACCATATTGATCTAAGTATTTTTATGTTGCAGTATGATCAACCAGCCCTCCTCTCTCCATCTCAAACAAGAGCTTTTATCAGAAAGAGACAGAGAAATTAAAACTTTAATCAGAACTAACAAATCAAGTTGATACCACCCCTTTCCCTTAGGTATGGAAGAGACTGTTTAGTAGTAATCAGTAAGGAGAGGCAAGAAAAGCCAAATGTGGCTGAGCCCAGTCCTAAGGGAGCCTATAATTCAGAAGATCCATGATCAAACCCAGTTAACAAAGGAAATATTCTTCTTCAATGAAGAATTTGCAAAATTCTGGGTAAGTGGGTAAAAAAAATAATGTTTATGTTTGTAAGTTCTGCTTCTTCTTTGGTGACTTTGTAAGGAAAACTAGAAAGGTCCAGGTATTATCTTTATAGACACCACCTCCTGTTCAAAACGCTTTTATGACCACAGTGTCAATATACATCCAATTTGTAAACTACAAGAAAATACAAACTTGGAAATTCCAAGGTATTATCCTCCATTGTCAGAGTTTTCTAAGGTAGGGGAGCTTATGAGCCTGAGAAACTTAAAAAGGTGCTATTTGAAACAGCAGGTCACAGAAAGGTGAGTCAGTTCAGAAGCAAACATCAGGGAAAGGTTCACTTTGCTCACCTAGGCATGGTTCCCTGGGAAGGGATACCTGTGTTATCTGGAATGTCAGTCTTTATCCTCCCCTTCACTCTGATGAATCTTGGAGATGTGCTTGATTCATTAGTAAGGAATTTGTGCATGTGCCCTGAGATTCTTTTTATTATTATTTTGTTTATCTATTTTTGTTTGTTTGTTTAAAATAAATTTCCCCCTCCCTCCCCTTCTTTCAACCCCCATCTCCACCCCCATCCACTCTTCAGAGAGGGTAAGGCCTCCCTTGGGCAGTCAACAAAGTCTGGCATACCAAGTTGGGGCAGGGCCTAGCCCCTCCCCCCTACATAAAGGCTGAGCAAGATATCCCTCCATAGGAAATGGGCTCCAAAAAGCCAGTTCATTAACCTAGGGTAAGTCCTGGTCTCACTGCCAGGGGCTCCACAAACAGATCAAGCCACACAACCGTCACCCCCATTCAGAGGGCCTAGTTTGGTCCCATACAGGTTCCCCAGCTGTCAGTCCAGAGTCCATGAACTCCCCCTAGCTTAGGTCAGCTGTCTGTGGTTTTTCCCATCATGATCTTGACACCCACCCTCCTTGCTCATTTGATCTCTCCTTCCTCTCTTCAAATGATCTCAAGGAGCTAAGCCCAGTGCTTGGCTCTGGATCACTGTATCTGCTTCCATCAGTTACTGGATATAGGTTTTATGATTCCTTAAAGTTCTAAGTGTTTGGGATGGCAACAGTAGACAGGGCAAGTGGCCAATCCTCCCTGTTGTCATGAAAGCTTGAGAGGGCTGTGGTCACATGATGATTGTGATGGCTATTCTTGATTGTCAACTTTACTACATCTGAACTTAACCAAAGTTCCAAGCAGCTGGGCACCTCTGTGAGGGATTTTTTTTTTCTTGATTGTATCATCTGAGGTAAGAAGATCCACCTTAGATCTGAGCCACACTACCTGGTGTCAGTCTACATAAAGGACATGAAAGAAGGAAGAACTTGTTCTTTGCCTGCTTGTCCTCACTCCACTGGCAAATTCATTCCTTTACTGGTATTAAAGCATATGTCTTCTGATTCTGGAATATACAGAAAACCACTTGAGAGGTTCATCCTTGTGGACCAAACAACTATTGGATTCTTGGACTTTCCATCAAGATACCATTGTTGGAATAGTTAGACCACAGCCTACAAGCCCCTCTAATAAATCTGATAGATAGATAGATAGATAGATAGATAGATAGATAGATAGATAGATAGATAGATAGATAGACAGAGAGATAGACAGAGACATAGGTGGATTGATGAATGGGTGGACAGATAGCTTCATTTTATCAGTTCTGTTTCTCTAGAGAACCCTGACTACTACCAATGTTTATTGACTGGATGCTTTGTCAATTGAGACTAATTGGATAATAACAGTAGAAAATGATACTTTATTATATTAGTTAAAACTCAAGATGGTCAAAGCATGGATTGGAAATCTTCAGAACAATCTCCTTTTGTGACTGAAAAGTGAGAATCTCCTGACTCATCAATTTTTCACTGAGGTTTATGCAAATGTCAACATTTAGGATATATTCATGAAAATATCTCTTTTAACACTCCATTTACCCAATTACTAGATATGGAGATACTAGCAAGCAATCCCTGAATATGCTGGATTTGACTGTCACAAGTCATGTCATAATCAGGAGCCGTGTTATCTTGGTATCTCCCAACTGCTCACTTGTCACCACCCTAATCCCATGCTAGAAGCCACAGAAATTTGTAAGTTCTCAATTGCTAAATACTGTAGATTAGTCTGTGACTGTATTCTGCCCTTCCCTAAACTCCAGGCTTTGGTCTACTTTAAAAAATTATTTAGTATTGCTCTTCTCTGTAACCCTAGAAATCAGTGAATGAACTTTCTGAGGACCTTATATGCTTCCCACTAGTTACTGCAGGTTTCAGGAATCAGTAATTTATCAGCAGGCCATTTTCTGACTATTTCACATGCCACAAGGACATAGCCAGTTCCTGTTAGTGCTCAAGATCTCAGGATCTTGGTCAGTCCTGACCAAGTGATTTCCCAGCTAATCGACAAGTGGTAGTTTCTGCTTTTTTGCAAGAAATAATTGGCTTACTAAAATGTCAGGCAATCTGCTTCCTTAAAGACAGCAATCATGATAAGTATTCTATGTCTAGCAGTCCATTTAATGCTCATGTAAGTGAGAGGGTGTGTATATGATGTGTGTGTGTGTGTGTGTGTGTGTGTGTGTGTGTGTGTGTGTGTGTGTGCATGTGTGTGAGGTGCTGGACACTGAACATACCAGACAAGTACTCTAACAACTGTGCTTTACTCCCAGTCCTTTAGTACTATTGTTTCTATTTTATAGAGATGAAAACTCTGAGGTTCAGAGAGGTATGACATCATAATTGAAATATAAGCCTCCTAGACTTTTACAATTTTTAAATAGATGTCTAATCAATTGCTCTACTATAAATATAAAGTTTTGTGCATTTGTAAGTCTGTCTTAATCATCACAAAGAATTAATAATTAAAAATATAGATTACTTTCAATTAGGAAAAATGATAAATGTTCTTACTGCTAAAATTTCTACAAACTACTGGCATATTTATTGATGAACTATTTAAGAGTTTAGAATGTAGGTAGGGGACAGAGGTAATGGCATATTAACTGCAAACACACTCTGCCCTGAGTGATGCATGAAGAATGACTTAGAAAGGGGTAATGCTATGAAACAACAACTTTTGGGGGTGAACCACAGCTGCATTCATGCTACCTCTGAGGGAAGATTTGACAAGATAGTTATTTTGCCTTTTCTCTTTCCTAAACCTTCTACTGCACT